AGTATTTTGGTTATTTGAACTTTGAGACGTCACGGTGTTGATAACAGCTTGTTGATAACACTTTGTTGCTGATTTCATGCACATAGCCATCATAACAATAGACGGTCATTTTGTTTTTAAAGGATGAAATTTATTGTTGAGTTATTGTAGTATGTAGTTTTAAAGGAGCTATGTCATGATATTTTAAGCCATTTTGCTGATGTACAAAAGTTACTTTCAAATTTAGTTTTCTAAGTTAGAAAAACACCAAAGAGGTAACAATAAACCAAAAAGGAACAAGGATGGTCAAGATTGGGCAAGATTGAGAATGGCAGACTTGAAAAACTTGGCCAAATTTTTAAGATGCGCTGTCTGTGATGTAAGCTGGGTTTTTTGTACATGTATGTTGGGAAAGTTCCAGAAGCTCTGGGATTTCGCTGTTTCGTGATCGTCCCAGATTTTGCCAATTTATGTTTTCATATGTTGGGAATGATTGCAGAAATCTGGCCGCCATCAGGTAAATAGAAGCACTCCCGATTTATCCCCGACCATCTCAGATGATCAGGGATATGTATGATTTTGTGTTTTCATAAAGCCCTGGTGAAATGGTGCATGATAGTCGAACTGTCATAGGTAAGTTGGGAGAATGAGAAATGCTGTGGGAATATGAGCCATTGGCCAGTGTTTAGCAAGTTTTTTGGTTCTTCCAAACTTCTACCGAACAATATATGTCTTGAGTGTTTCTATTAATTTGAGTTACAGAATACATCAACCCAAGTACTTAAAAGCTTAACATCATTTTGCTTTTCAGTTTTAATGATCACACCAACCTTGAGGTTACCCAAGCAATCGAAAGAGGTGTCAGAGCAACATCAGCTTTCAAAGAGGCTGATCCTGTTATATTAGAGTGTAAGTATAGATTAATTTTCTATAATTATGACTATAATATTTGGTGGCTTAATAGCTGGCACATTGGACTGTGGATCAGACATTTGGGTTTGAGCATTGGCCTGGACCAGTGTGTTGTATTGTGTGTTCTTGGGCAAGACACTTTACTTCCATAGTTCCTCTCTAGCCTTTAACTTAAACCAGCTGTGACCGAGGCAGGTTCTGATGTTGTTATTTGAACAAAGAGACAGACTTATAGCCACAATAAAATTTATTTATACAGGAAAGTACAAAAGAAATAATACTGATAAAAAGCAAGGGTGATTGCAAGCAAATCCTCAGTAAAATAGGTCACTAACTTGAGGTTACATGTACTGGAGTTACTTTTTTTGTGACCAAAGGTTCTGAGCTTGTAAGTGCTGGTCTTGACACTCTGAACTACTGAGTTAAACTAACTGTACTTCTTTTATAAGGAATCAAACAATAGCAGGAAATTCTTTAAAATTTTGGAAGTTAGGTGTGATCATTCTAAAGGAAATTTAGCTGCAAATCCTGTGTTTAGGATGATTTGGTTATCATAGGAAATAGTTAGGTGTGATGGTGCGACTTAAAGGAAAGTTATGATGCAAATCCCGTGTGTAGAATAATTTGATTATCATAGAAAATAGTTTCTGAAGATGTAATTCTAAAATTATAACAAAAAATACTGCAATGTCATGCACAATTGTGACCCTGGTCACATTAACAAAGGTCATCTCCAGAGTCAAGTGAAAAGTTGCAGTAAGTTGAGTGTTATAAGTTGGGTTGATCAGTAAGACTTGTGTGGCCTTAGTGGGTTGTGATTGGTCAGGTTAGATGTGTTGGTAACGTCACAAGTGTAGGTCATTCTGCTTGGTTTGTTTGTATTGTAACTCTTGTGAGGCATGATTTTTATTGTGCCAGTTGATGTTGAAATTCTGTTTTAAGTTTAAATGAACCAACCTTCCAAATTTTATTTGTTGAAAGTACAGTACAATTACACCATGTATTGCTGCCACATACATTTTTTTTGATGTGGTCATTATCTTATTTCTTTTTTCATGTAAGGGAGTTAATTTTTTAGAGAAGGTGACCTCTTCTGAAAAGGGTATAACCACAAACTAAAGGACAAGAGGGAGTGCTAATGAACACTTTTCAAAAATTGCAGGTTTGTTGGAATGGCTCTTGGGTTTCCTCCTCCCCTCGGTGATTCAAATAAGATGATCAAAAAACAGTTAGATGGTTGCATGGAAAGGGGCTTGGAAGCTCTTTTGTTTACTCCAATGGAGCAATGGATATCAAGCGTTTGTGGGAGAGGAAAAAGATGGTTACTCACTGAGAAAGTAAAAGAACTTTCGCAAAAGACAGATGAGAATATCCTTGTTGTTTGTTCCAGCAAGCCTTTGTCAATAAAGCTAGCCAAGGAATTTAATCTTGCAAAAGTGGCTAGTTTTGAGGATCTTCTCTCGGAACTTAGTGAGCCTGAATCCTGTTTTGAGCAGAGGAGGGAAGGACGTGTAAGCAAGGTACTGGAAAGGTTGGAAAAAGGAACTGTGCCTGTTGAACATTATGATCACATATTTGTGTATGAGTGTGAGGATCTATATGGTGACTGGCCAGTTCTTTTCGAGAAGTTGTTAAAGGATGTTAAAGAGGAGTACAGGAGTACCCAACACCTTTGGTTCTTCTTCGATCCAAATAAGTTCCTCTCCACACAGTTTGAAAGACACTTGCAATTTCTCGAGAGAGGCACAAGGCTCTTCAAAGTTTATGGGAGCACGCAAAACAATTTTAATCAAGTTAAGAAATATTTCGAGACAGCTGTTTCAAGTGCAAAACTTCCCGAAGCAGGGCACACACCATATGGACTCCCGATTCAGTGGAATGACTCACTCACAAGAGATGACGGGGTGGAGGCTGGAGCAAAACTTATTAAGGAGTATATCGAAGGCTTCCGCAGAGAGAAAGTCAAGGACAAGGAGATATGCATTCTCACAATAAATGAGGAGGTTCGAGGTAGCATCATTTCAGAGCTCGAGAGAATCCAAGTTCAGTGCCAAAATGCCACAGATTGCTATAAAAATGGTGAAGATAAAGTTGTGGTGGAAAGCATAAGACAATTCAAAGAACTGGATTCAAATGTAGTAATTCTTTACGACCCACCATATTGTTTGGTATCTATAATAGAAAATGCTGGAGCAAAACTTGTTAAGGAGTATATCAAACAATTCCGCAGAAAGAATGTCAAGGACAAGGAGATAATCATTGTCACAATAAATGAAGAGGTTCGAGATAGCATCATTTCAAAGCTTGAGGAAATCCAAGTTCAGAGCCAAAATTCCACAGATTACTTAATAAATGGTGAAGATAAAGTTGTGGTGGAAAGCATACGACAATTAAACAGACTGGATTCATATCGCGCAGTAATTATGTACAACCAACAACATTGTCTCTTACCTGGGACAGAGGAGCATGTGAAGTCACTTCTGTATTTAGCAGTGTCTAGCTGTGTTTGCAAACTGGTGGTTATCACCACCAAACGTGGTTGTAAGGCTTTGAAATCAGAAGAAGGCCTACTGATGATTAACAGTGCCGAAGAGATGATTAACATTGCCGAAGAGATGATTAACATTGTTTCATTTATAATTGAGCGTGACGTTCCAGAGACCTTGTAAAGCAGATGTGTGAGGTCTGTCCTCCAAGTTCAGAAACTGTGAATATGATGAAAAGCAAGCCTGCACTGCAGGCTTGCCTTTCGTTATATTCACAGTTTCTAAACTTGGAAGACAGACCTCACACATATGCAGTGCAGGCGTCTTGTTATTGTGACCGTCACTCACCCCCTTGGTACAAATTACCTTCTCTCTCCAGCCCTCCACTGCCATAAAAATCTAAGATGGCGGCCATTTTTCGCTAAGAAAAAACTAAGCACTTGCTTGCTCAAATTACGTCTGCTCTGCAGGCTACGTACAGGCCTAATGGCTTTGCATTAGAATGAAGCACTGAAATGTTTTACTATCCATTTAGGCAGCTAATGGCGGTCTGGGTAAGGTTATAGAGCACTTGAGAAGTGCAAGTCAATCGCCTCATATAGCTGCTCGAATTTGAGCAGATTATGACTCAAAAATGGCTGCTGAGAAAGGAGAAGAAAGCTTATCAAGTAAGAAATTCCCACAATTAAGCTGCTTTAGCTTGCTCTGGCTTGATTGGAACAATGTCAACCAAATTAGAAGTGACACTAAGAAAAAGTAGATAGTGAAACTATTGTGCAGTTAAACCTGGAGGCAGTGTGGTCGAGTGGTCAGCGTGTCGGACTCACAATCCACCACTACCGGGTTCGAGTTCCACCCTGACCACTACCTGGATTTGTTTCATGGAAGCTCCGAGTTCAAATGGCCATGCTTGTAAATAGCCAACTGGTTTGCCTCCAGCCAGTTGGGATTCTTAACAATGTTATCGGTTCAATTTGAAACATTTGTTTCAGTTGTTTGCTCGGCCCCACTAGCACTTGTGTCATAAACACTACCGAGGGTAAATGAAAAGAATATATACATATGTATATATATATATATATATATATATATATATAACAAGTTAACAGATTTCGAGCCAACAGAGATGCCGTGCCAGAAGGATCTGAAAGGATTCGCAGTCCAAACCTCGATAAATAATAGGAGAAGTAGTGTGGCACACGAGGACGGACAACTTCGAGCAAAGGAAGACATATACTCAATATAAAATCTAAAAAGTTAAAATACGTTTCGGTCTGAGACCTTCATCCGTTGTAATACAATAACTTACAAACTCCTTAAATAGATTTACAAAGAGGGCGTGGTGACACATTAACAAAAACAGTCATTACTACACAAAAAATTATCACAATCTACGAGAAAAACAAACAGAAATTGTCGAATCCACTGAAAATGTTAAGGACCCAGCGTTGATAAAAGAAGAGAATTGTACCAATATTCCCAAACAAAGCCGAGACCGGGACCTTTGATTCCCACCCAATTTGAATCCTCAGCATTAATCATAGTTTATTCTTTTTTGGGGGTGAAATTCCTGGCGCTTATTCAAGCCGAAGGGTGCCAGAGAGAACAACTGTGCGTTTCAATATGCTTCGGTAATTAAAAGTTTCTCCATGTTACCTGAATTGTTTACGGTCGCCTGCACATATACATATGTATTCTGTATACAAGGGAAACCTGACCCTGTACACCCCAAGTAATCATACTTAAATAGAATGAATGTTTGAAAAGAAAATTTGCCCTGAGCGGGATTTGAATCCACGTACCCCTGTTACTAGTCAGGTGTGATGACCACTACGCTATCAGGACAACCATGCTGGCAATACGGTAATTGAAGATGTGATTTACGTGATCGGAGACGTGGTCACCCGGGAAACTTAATTTTCAAGGGGACAGGGTAGGGGAAGCCTATAACCCCCATATGAAACCCAACTAAGGATCTATTAAAGATACACGACCGAAGTCAACTTAGCGGATGACAAAGGAGGATCCAATTACGGATACAGGCTAATTTAACAATCCTGTATACAAGGGAAACCCTGACCCTGCACACCCCAAGTAATCATCCTTAAATAGAATAAATGTTTGAAAAGAAAAGTTGCCTTGAGCGGGATTTGAACCCAGGTCCCCCTGTTACTAGAGGGTCCCCAATAGGGTTCTTCGATCCCGCCATCCCGACCGGAATTTCCCTCAATCCCGAAATTCCGACGGTTTCATGGGCTAATCCCGATCCCGGTCATATTTTCTTAATTCCTTACCTCAGCAAAAATGATCCTTCAAGTCCCGTTTCAGATTTCCTAACAGCAGACCCAAGCACTGACTATAACGCTGAATTAGCTGTATCTCTCTGTACTAAAACGATGATCTAGTTCATTTGTTTTTCATGACTGGTTTTAAACGAATTTCGTCAGTCAATGAGTCATTTTTATGGTTTTTATAGCTCGCTTATTTTGTTTTTTTTTTTTTCTTTTTTCTGTTTTGCCTCTTTTGTTCAATCACGCCTGCCTTCCGGATTACTTTACTCTCCTTCGCAGCCGTTGTTCGGTCACGTCACGCAACGCTCCCTCCCCCACTAACCGGCTGCTTTAACCCGAACCACATTCCTTTCCCTTTGTTTAGATTTCACGTTGACTGTACGTGATAATGCGCATTTGCACCAATCACACGTCTCCTTTGGTTTCACGATAAAACCAATCAAATTTCAATGACGTAAGTTCCCCGTGTAAAATGGGCGCTTTCTAATTGCCAGTCATCTCAAAAATTTCCCATGGATGTAACTCCGAAGAAATTGGAAGAAAGTAGTTAAAGATGCTTCATTTTGTTCCTCGATTTCACTCACAAAGGATAAAATTTACATTTTCGATAAAAGTTCATTGATGTTGCTGAACTAATTCGTTCTTCTCTCACTGTTGAAGTGCATCGCTACGCGGAGAACAGCAAATTGTACATGTTTGTTTGTAGAGACAAATGCCACCAGCTTTTGATAAGTTTAAGAAGGTATCCGATAAACTGAAAGAAATCAACAAAGAAATAGAAGACGTCTTCAATACACGAGAAAAACCCAGGGCAAGGACTGCGCTGCGAACGGACGAGGAGAATAATGTCCGTAAACAAGAGCTCTTTGACAGGACTGTGAACATGATCATACATTTCCAAGACTACAGTTCACCATTAAATTACCGTCTGTTATGACTACGAATATATTTCTCTACATAAATCGCAAGATTTCGAACGCAAAAAACGTGGCTTAGGCCCATGAGGGGTCATCTCCGCCAATATCCTGTTTCAAATTCTGTTCTAAAAAACCTGTATGCCATTGCTTTTTATCAAATTCTTTTCAGAATAGAAAATGGCGAAACAGAATAGTAATTGGTGAAACAGAATAGAAATTGGCGAAACAGAATAGAAATTGGCGAAACAGAATAGAAATTGGTCAAACAGAATAGAAATTGGCGAAACAGAATAGAAATTGGCGAAACAGGATAGAAATTGGCGAAACAGGATAGAAATTGGCGAAACACAATAGAAATTGGCGATGTTTATTTCTATTCTGTTTTACCGACGAACCGAGTGGAACCTGAGTGAGAGCCAGTTAAACATTATAATTTATTCTCCCGATTCCCGCTCAAAGAAAATTTATTCTTGCCTGATAGCCAGTCTGTTTACCGACCGTAAATTAACTATGTAATATCGAGAATCCGCCGACAGTTGCAAAATTATGTAATTCGTTTTATTTTTTTAAAGGACCCTTTTAATGAAACTTTTTCGAAAATTATATCAAAAAGTTCTATGCGCCTTTTTTCTCCGAAAAAGCGAAAAGTTCGAAATCCGCCTAAATGGCCGTTTTCCTCCCCGTAAAGCAATGAAAAATGATACAACTTTGGCAACTTCGCAAGCTACAACGCGATGCAATCCCGGATGTTACTAAAACGAGGAACCGGGAAAGGGAAACGGGGAACGGGTGTACAGCGGTAACCCACCTGAGAATTCAAAATGGCGGAGTAAACGATGTTTACAAACACTGATTTTATCGCTAGGTCGCCGCTTGCAGCGAAATTAGACGACTCACTTTTATTTAACTGTTGCCCAGGCGAAGCCACGAAGCCTAGTATTCCGAAGCAAGAATTCGAAGTCAACGTTTCTGCAATGGCTGCCACCATTTGTTCTGACGTCTCTCATTGTTTTTCTTCCCTGAATCCTGCATCTTTTGGCAGAGTTTGGGTATGTTGGTTGTTTGCATTGCCTTACAGCACTTTTTGCAGATAAGTAGCAAAGAGGTAATATCATATATTAGACTTTCTAGTCTTCTCGGGTAGGGACGATAAATGGAGGTCCCGTCTCCTACAGGGTTGGGGTAGGAGACGTTAATTTCCCACACACGAGATTACTGTGTGATGGATGTCCTCCTCGGGGTAGGATGGGTGGGTAAAAAAGGGGTTAGGTGTCAATTGGAAAGAAAGTTCTGTTCCTTTCTCCTGCCATTCCTGTGGCGAATGAATTAAACTTAAACTAAAACTTAAACTTAAGAAATATTAATTTCTTTTTATTTTGTTACGTTCAAGTCTGAATAGTGACCCGTTGAAATGAAGTACGTTGAACGGCTGTCACGCAAGAGGTTATATAAATGGTACATTCCTGGCCAAGTTGAAAGATTGGCTTTGACCTCTTGCGTGACAGCCGCTCAAAGTACTTTATTTCAACGGGTCACTATTCAGAC